GAAGACTTCGTCGTCAATGGTCTTGAGCCTATAGGTGCCTGGTCGAAGTACCTTCGCGATGATGTACGATCCCTCCCACGGCGGAGAGAGCTTGTGGTGGTTCTTGTTGCTCTGGCGAGGCGAAGCACCAGGTCCCCGACGTTGAAGGCCTGACCCTGCACTCGTCGGCTGTGGTACCAGTGCAACGTGTGCTGGTACTTGGCCAAGCGGAGGACAGCAACATCGTGCGCTTCTTCTAGATGGTCCATGGCATCCTCAAGGGATGCCTCGGCTCCCTATTCGTCGTATGCCCCGACCCTCGGCGCTCCATAATCGAGGTCGATCGGGATGATAGCCTCGGAACCATAGACCAGGAAGAATGGCATGTAGCCGGTGGCCCGGCTGGGGGTCGTCCTCTGGCTCTAGAGCACCGTGGGAAGCTCCATGACCCATCATCTGCCAAACTTGTTCAACCGGTTGAAGATCCTAGGCTTGAGGCCTTGTAGGACCATGTTGTTCGCGTGCTCGACCTGCCCGTTCGTGCGGGGGTGTGCCACGGCGGCCCAATCGACGCGGATGTGGTATTCATCATAGAACCAGAGGAACTTCTTCCCAATGAACTGTGTGCTGTTGTCCATGATAATAGAGTTTGGGACTCTGAAGTGATGAACGATGTCAAGGAAGAACAGCACGGCTGCTCGGACTTGATCGTGGAGATCGGTTGAGCCTCTATCCACTTTGTAAACTTGTCTACGGTGACCAACAAGTGCGTATAGCCCCCAGGCGCCCTCTTGAGAGGTCCAACCAGATCGAGCCTCCAGACCGCGAATGGCCATGTGATGGGGATCTTCTGGAGTGCTTGGGCCGGCAGATGGGTCTGCCGAGCGTAGTATTGATACCCTTCACAGGTGCGTATAATCTGTTCAGCGTCGATTACTGCGGTCGGTCAGTAGAAGCCTTGTCGGAACGCGTTTCCGACCAGGTTCCTAGATGCAGCGCTGTAGGATCCCGGTATGGCTTCGCCTGTAGAGCTCGCCCTCAATAACGACAAAGGACTTGGCGCGACGCGTGAGCCGTCGAGCCTCCATTTTGTTCGTCGGCAGTGCCTCACAGAGGAGGTAGTCGAGGAAAGGTGTCCTATAGTCAGCCAGAGGAGCGGGCTCTGTCGCTGGATCCTCGTCAAGCTCTATGACTTCAGGGTCAGATGGAGCCATCGGCTAGTTAGCCCCCGAGCCTAGGGCAGGCGGCCCGTCATCGGTCTGTTCTGGCTTCTCGTAGCGGACCGAGAGCTTGTACTGATAGCTGGCGAAGATACCCATCGACACCGGCTCTCGGCCGGAAGCCATTTTCGCTAGCGCGTCAACCACCTCGTTGAGACGCCTCGGGGTGTGATTAAGCTCGAGACCGTCGAACTTGTAAGACCCTAAAATTTGCATGGTTTTAAAATAGGAGAAAATGATTTAATTATACATTTTGTGAGCATTTAAATTTAGAAAAATAATAACTTTGTTAAAATTAAAATCAAATATAGGTCTATATACATGTCTATGCATTCATGCTGCTGCATATTATTTTTGAATTGTGTGGTTTGAAATCAAACTTCAAATTAATTTGAATTTGTATTTCAAAATTGGTTTGGAAAATTAGAAAAGAAAAGGAGAGAAAATTTTCTTCCCCCCCCCCGCATGGGCCTACTGCTCCCGGCCCAGCTTCCTCTCTTCTCGCTTAGGCGTCGGCCTAGCTCCGCCTGCGCGGCCCAGCAAAGCAAGCCAATAGGCCGGCCCGCATCACCCACGTCGTTCCTCTCTCGTCCCAAGCTTCGGAGCCGTAGCTGCCCTCGCATTGCGCCGAGCCACTCTAACCCTAGCACCACCGCCATCTCTACCGCCTCACGAGCACCACGCTGCTCTAGTTCGCTTCACATCGAGGTAAGCTACTTAGTCGAGTTTGCCTTGCTCTCCTCTCTCTCCCGGTGTCTTCGGCTCATGAATCTGTGGTCTGTAGGCCATGTTTCATACGCGCCGCCCCTCTCCGGCCATGGCGCCACCGTGGAGCTCGCCGCCGTCCTCGCCGGCCATTTCCCCTCCCCTCCGATCTAATCTGCGTCGTTCAATCGTGATCCAACAGATCAAATCTAAACATACCCCTTCGTTGTAGTTTTGCAAAAATGCCCTTATAATTATTTGCATCTCAACCCGCCGTCCCTGCAATTTTGTTAAAGAGTCCTTGTGTTTCTTTGTTTTCATGTCCACAGTCCCTAGTTCGGTTTAAAATCTGATTTTATTTATTTAAATTCAAAAATTAAGTTTCTACTATTTACAGTTTTGCCACTAATCTTGTTTTAGCCACAAAATCTTTGCTTTAACTCCAATTTGATCCGCTCAAGTTGCGTTAGGTTCGTAATTGAGTAATCTACATGTTCATACTACTGTTAAGTATGTTCTCAACTTTTGAAATTCGAGGTTAGATTTAATCCATTATTTTAATAAAGGAAATCTTATTTAATTCATAACTTCTTTGTTTTAGCTCCGATTTTTGTGATCTTCGCGTATGTGTGTTCGTAGTGAGACGTAGATTCGTTTTGCAAACTTTTATCTTGATTTTATACTGTTGGTGTACTGCTCTAATCTATAGCTTTTATTTGCTATGCATGATTGCTTCTGGATGCTTGTATGTTGCTATGATTATCGAGTATAGACGGTGAGCAATTCATGGGTGATCAAGAGTACTACTTTGACGAGTAGGATCAGCAGGAGTATTTTGTTCAAGGCAAGTATAGCATGGGATTAACCTTGTTTCCTATCAACTTTAATACATTTAATTCATGTTTGCATGTGTCACCTTGATAGGGATTCCCTAGAATTAAACATATACCTTGTCGCCTATGGGATATGCATTGGGTAGTTTTGCTAGTGCTCAACTAAACTTGTGGCTATGGTAATGATGATTTTCCTCGGGATTATTAGACTTGTGGTCAACCAGTTGACGTCCCTGTGATATGGAGCTTCCGCGCGAGATTTTTCTTTATACTTCCGCTACATTTATGTGAAGATTATGTCTTATTATTCGTGATGTAAAAAACACTTATGATGATACTATTTATAATTTATCGTCTTATGTGTGTGACTGATCTCTGGGCGCACATAAGATTATGCATCCCCATTTATCCTTAAAATCGGGTGTGATAGATTGGTATCGGAGCCGTGTTGACTGTACGATGCAAGCCTAGTTAGCAATGGTCGTTTTAGCCTCTTTTGCTTCACACATTTCATGCTTTCCATCTCACCCTTCTTATTTGCTAAATTTTATGCTTCTTTTGCCTCACTCTGTTGTGAAAATTATTGCTTCTAGTCTGACTAAATCTAATTATGTAGATGCCTCATGCCAATAAGACCGCTCGTATCAGCACCGGAGGCTACTACCCGCCTCGTGGCTTGTATGAGTCCATGGAGCCACATGAGGAGGAACCCCTGAAGCAAGAAGTTGATTCGCCAGCACCTGCACCTACGCCAGAGCCATTCTAAGAAGAGCCTGAAGAAGAAGAATCCGAAGAAGTGGAGGTCGTTGTATTGTCTGATGATGATGATAAAAAATGACGCTGTTCAAGAGGATGAGCCGATCCCTCTCCTGGGATGGACTACGAAGGTCTGGTACAAGCCGGGGTGTGAATCCTCCGTCTCGCACCACTGACTTATGGGGATTCTTCAGATCTACTAGAGTGTGTAAGGTGTCAGCTGTTGCTATACGCGAACGTAGTTCATAAGGATGGATTTTGTGGGACTGTCTTACCAAGCTAGGTGCCTTGGCATGATATTTTGGTTTCCTCTAATGTTTCAGATATCTTTGCTTTCTTACATCCATAGCCTATTGCAAGAGAAGCACAATAAGTAACTCTTTTTTTTTTTACATTTTGTATTGTATCCTGGGCATGTTGGTAGTAGTAGTAGTATATATATAATAGTCATTGGTGTTGATCTAGCTTATAAGCATGCAAAATGTCGGTGCGGATCATCCATAACTGTTGATGCATCATTCATTTATCATGAGCATGCTCTAAATCTTCAGCCAGCAGTAGTTCGGATGGCACAACCCACAGTTCAGCCAGCAGTAGTTTGGATGGCACAACCCACATTGTAGGGGGGAAGAAAGTGAGGATATTTGAACTCGAATTTGGAGAGACGGGCGTAACGGGAGAGTGACAGACAAAAGAAATTACTACCTCCATCCCAAAAAAATAATGTTCTGTGATTTAAATGTTTTCCTAAAAAAATGATGTTCTGAGTTTTAGATACGTTGTTGGCCCACAGATCTGGTGCCAAATTATCAATTGAGATGCGCTACTGTTTGTTGCTTGCCTCGGATTTCTGCATGCTTGCATGCAGCGCGTTTTAGTTAGGAAGTAAACCACGCGACATCTCTTCTTTAAAGGAAATCGTGCGTGACATACTAAGGGTATTAGGGACATTTCTCTTCTCCACTAATCTGTCTAAAAAATTCGAGAACATCATTTTTTTTTTGGACGGAGGGAGTACCAAGCTAATATCAGGTAGAGATAAATGCAATTTGTTGAGAAAATTAGGAAAAATAAACCACAAAATATATATAGGTCGAGTTGGAAAAATATCAACGCCAAATGTCGTGTGGCGTCCTGTCGTCCACGGTAAGCAGCAACAGCCTTCCATTTCGAAGCTTGGTGGTGGACAGACTAATTGGCACCGACCCGGCACATGCTTTGTCCACTGGGCTGCAGCCTGCACGGACCGCCGCGCCCACAGCATTTTACCCACGTCAAAACCTGTCGGCCTGACCCAACCCAACCCGTCTGCAAAAAACCGTCGGCCCAAACGCGCCTTCAGGGTTCAGGCACGGCCGAATGCCCCAATCCTACGACCCGCTCGCGACACTATAAAAAAACCAGGACGACTGATCGCGCTCACCAGACACCAGCCAGGCAGCCAGAGCCCAGAGCAGAGCAAACTCGCACTTTCCACTCACACGAACACGTCCCAAGAACACCAGCGATGAGCGTGGAGATCCTAGACGGGAGCACGGTGCGGAGCTTCGTGGAGGACGAGGGCGCCTTCAACTCCTCGGTGGACAGCCGGTTCGCGGCCCTGGACGCCGACCACGACGGCTTGCTCACCTACGCCGAGATGGCCGGGGAGCTCATGAGCCTGCGCGTGCTGGAGAAGCACTTCGGCGTGGACGACGCCGTGGTGGCGCCGACGAGCTCGCAGGGCTGTACCGCAGCCTCTTCGCGCGGTTCGACAGGGACAGCAGCGGCAGGGTTGACAGGCAGGAGTTCCGCGCCGAGATGAAAGAGGTGATGCTCGCCGTGGCCAACGGCCTGGGCTTCCTCCCCGTGCAGATGGTCGTCGAGGAAGGCAGCTTCCTCAAGGTCGCCGTCGACAGGGAGCTCGGACAGCTCGCCAAAGCTGCATAAAGCTCACGCGCGCGGAATACTACTACTTGCTCCTACTAGTATATATACAGACTGGTGGAATACTAAATTTTGAAGTGTCACAAATCACAATCACAACTGCAGTTTTTACATCTATCGATTTACAGTGCTGCTACCAACATATATTGGTAGTGTGCACTGCTTGATACAAGTTCTTTCATTACCTAAAACCATCATTGTGTACCTCCACTGTCCAGATGAGTAATTTGCTTGAAAATTGAGACATGTTCTTGTCTTTGGGCATTCTCAAGAATTTGTTGTGGCAAAAAAAAATCACAAAATACGTGTTTCTCAGGATTAAAACTCAAGACCACAATGCTCACACTACTAAAAAAATCTTTTGCGATGCGTTTTGGAATGGGTCTCGGAGGCGGGGGGAAATTCAACTGGCTCGGTTAATGCCTAGCATTAACCGAGGCGGTCGCTTTTTATTAACCGAGGCGGTTACAATCAACCGCCTCGCAAATCTATTTACGGAATCTATTAACCGATGCGGGTCTTATAAGTGGTCCGCCTCCAAAAATACCTCTATTTTCAAAGGCGGAACTCCTAACTTGCCCGCTTGGAAAAATAAGGCCGAGGCCCGATAGGCGCCCAAGTATAAATACTAAACCTAGAGTTTCATTCCCACCTCACTCTCTCTTCTCCCTCAGCGCCACGCCCCCTCGCGACAGGCAGCGCCGCGTGACTCCTCCCCTCCCCGCGCGACTTCTCCCTCTCTCGTGCCTCTCTCCCTCTCCCTCACCCTCACCCGAGCGGTGGTCCGGCGGCGCGTCGCGGCGGCCCGGCGGCACCCCTCCTCCTCACTCGAGCGCGCCCCCTCCCCCTCTCTCATGGTCGCGACTCCCCCGAGCGCGCCCCTCCCTCTCCTTCTCCCTTGGCGCCCCTTGCACGGCCTCCCTCACCTGGGCGCGTCGGCCTTCCCCTTCTTCCCCACCGGCAGCGAGGTGGAGGCGGCGGATCCGGTGGGGAGCTGTGAGGTAGAGGTGGCAGATCCGCGCGGGGAGCAGCGGGGTGGAGGCGGTGGATTCGGTGGGGAGGTGCCCTCCGATGACGGATCCGATGGGGTGGAGCCCTCCGACATGGGATTCGGCGGGGAGGAGCGCGCCGGCAGCGGATCCGGCGGGGAGGATGGTGGATCCGGCGGGGAGAAGTGCACCAGCGGTGGATCCGGCAGCGTGGCTCCAGATCCGGCGTCGGGTAGCGGCGGTGGCTCGAGGCCCAGATCCAGGCCCGATTAGTGTTGGGTACGGGCTTTTTTTGTTTTTTATTTGATTTACCGAGGGGGGCATTTGGACCACCTCGGTTAAGGTTTCATTTACCGTGACCTTTGCACCAAGGCAGTTACGAAAACCGCCTCGGTTAATCGATTTTGCCCGCCTCGGTAAAGTTTGCTATAGTAGTGTCATGTTCCCTCGAGTGAAGATATATCAGCTATGCTACACGACACATGTGAATATATAGCTGATGATATTCTTTTAACTATACAATTTCAAATATTATATTTCATATTTCACAATCGAAATGAACTCAAATGAAAAGGTTATTAACTACAAAGTTGTAGATCTCGTCGAGTACTACAATTTTGGTGTTGACTTTGTCTCCTTTCAACATTGTTAATCATCTCATATTTGATCTGGGAACCTATATTGAATATTTGGAATTGTAAACCGTCTCTTTAAACTATAATTTTGATATAAAATTTATCTTATCCGATCTCATATGAAAAAATTATAATTTCTTTTACGCAAAAGAGCCTATTACTAGCGGTTCAAACTAAGATTCAGCAGTGATTGGTGGATCTATCACTGCCGGTTCATGGCTTCAACCAGCAGTGATAGTACACAACCTATCACTACCAGTTAAAGCCACGAACTGGCACTGATAGCTCATTCATCACTGTCGGTTGAAGCTATGAACCGCCAGTGATACGATATCACTGTTGGTTCTAAAAATAACTAACGGTGATAATCCGGCGGTGATAATCTTTTAAGCGTAGTGCATGTTTCGAATCTACCTCTGATTCCAGTGTCTCGCTTAGAACGCATACAAACTCTGTTTTTACGTTATACATATGCACATAAAGCTAAGGAGATAAGGTTTCAAACAGTCATGGTCCCCCGTAAGATGTTACGGGCTTTGCTGTGATACTTCCAAATGACTATGAGCCCTATATGCAATAAGTTCAGATGGTTAAAATCATCTATTACTGCCTAAAAGGTAATAGATGAAATATATATTTATTTATTATTTAGTAAAATAGGATAAATAAGAAAAAGTTTTAGATATAAAAACCTTTATTCTCGATCTAACTGATGCATGTGTGATCAATTTGATATGGTAAATCTTTTTATTTTGCAACATTGGATATGGCATAATTTCATTAGCATAAATTGCCATGACAACTATTTATGTGATATAACTTGATCAACAAAGTACAAGAAAAATATGTACAAGAGTAAAAATATACACCGATCTTCTACAAATAAAAATGCTTGGGAGCTGCTACAAAACGATATGATTTGTCAAAAAAAGTTGCATAAAAACAAAACAAGTGTCGCCGTGGTTTATAACATTGCACACTCTCATCCTTTGTAGTGATCTTCTCATGTTCCACGGCTTTGGCATCAAACCAAAAGCTAACGATGTCCTTGCTGGCCGCCAACTCCATGTCGCTGATGTTCTCACTCATTGTCGCGTCGCCGGACGCGCCAGAGGCTTTGTAAGCTAGGATGTTTAAGGTTCTAGAGCATCTGCAAGAGTAAAAAAAAACTTCCCTAACGTTGTTTTTTTGACAAGATTGGAAAAAATCTCTCTCCAACAACTCTCAATCCATCCTCCCTAACTTTTGGCACGGAAAAAAGGAACATGCTATATTTCAAGTGCCTGAAATATTATTTCTTTCCGGGCAACAGTTGCCAGCCGTAATGGTTCACATCCGAACCCGATAAAAACACAACACATATACTAGCCACCGACGGACACAATGTCGCCTGAACACAACACAAAAACCAGGCGACTGATGAATAGGAATTGTGCGGGAAAAAACCCCACATCCGCGTAAAGTTGCGCGCGCACTCTTCGTCGTGCGTATCCTTCTTTCCCCGCGCTTTCTCTCCTCCGTGGCGCAGTACTTTCTACCTCGATTCATCTTCATCGCGCCATGATCTCGTGGGACGACGTGTACAAGGTGGTGGCAACGATGTTGCCGCTGCACGCTGCTGGGTTTCTGTCCGTCCGGTGGTGGAAGATCTTGACGCCGGAGCAGTGTGAGTCCGTGAAAGTTCGTCCGGTGGTGGAAGATCTTGACGAGTGCGAGTCCGTGAACAGCCTCGTCGCCTTGTTCGCGATACCATTCTTCACGTTCGGGTTTACTGTCCACATCGACCCCTTCTGTGCCAACTACCGCGCCATCGCTGTCGACGTCGTCGCCAAGGTCGTCATCGGCGCCCGGTGGGTGCTGTTCGCCCGGGGTCGCTGCAACGCCGCCGTCAACTGGTCCATCACCGGCTTCTCCCTGTCCAGGCTCACGAGCTCACTCGTTGTCGGCGTGCCCATGGCGCAGGCCATGTACGGCTACTGGGTGCAGCAACTCGTGGTGCAGCTCTCCATCTTCCAGGCCATCGTCTGGATCACGCTCCTCCTATTCGTGCTCGAGGTCAGGAAGGTCGCCCTCGGGACGACGGAGATCTACGGCCGGGCTGGGACGTGGCGGCGACCGGCAGTGAGGAGGTTCCAATATCTTTTTGGGAGTTGCAAAACTATATGTTGCTATACGCGAACGTAGTTTCTAAAGATGGATCTCGTGGGACTGCCTTACCAAGTTAGGTGGCTTGGCATGGTATTTTGGTTTCCTCTAATGTTTTAACCCGTATAATAGAGAAGCATAATAAGTAACTTTATTTTTTGAAACATTTTGTATGGCCTATCCTGGGCATATTGGTAGTAGGAGTATATATAGTTTCATCGGTGTTGATCTAGCTTATAAGCATGCAAAATGTTGGTGCAGATCATCCATAACTGTTGATGCATCATTCATTTATCATGAGCGTGCTCTAAATCTTCAGCCACCAGTACGTAGTTCGGATAGCACAATCCACATTGTAGGGGGGGAGAACCGGAGGATCTTTGGACTCGGTTTTGGAGGACGGGCAGAACAGGAAGAGAGTGACGGACCAAAGAAATTACCACACTAATATCAGGTAGAGATAAATGCAATTTGTTGAGAAAATTTGGAAAAAAAAATAAACCACAATATATATATATATATATATATATACTGTATATATATATTACACCTGGGTGCATTCTATATAGAGAATGCACCCAGGCCAAACCGACCGACGCGCGCGCCCATCTGGTCCAGCCCGCACGCGCCCGAGGCCGCCTCGCCCGCACCACCTGGTCCGCACGCCCGCACCACCTGGTCCGCACGCGGCACGCTCTAGCAAACCGCCTCCACTCCCTCTGTTCAGTTTCCGTTTCTCTTTTCCTCGCGAGGAACCGCCGTCGCTCGCGCTGCGCCGCCGCTCCGCCGAGAGAAAACCGCCCCCATTGTTCCGCCGAGAAAACCGCCCCCACTCGCCCTTCATTTTTGTCGCTGCTCCCCCACCCCGTACTCCCCCACACCCCCACGCTCTCCATTTGCCGTTTTGCGGGCTGCGGTTTTCCACTCTCCATTTGCCGCTCTTCGGATTTCTGGACCTAGGGTTCGAGCGTCGCCGTGTTGAGGCACTCAAATTCGAATCCGCCGCTTTTTATCCCGATGTAAGTCATCCCCCATTCCCTATCCCTACTTAATTTTGAATTGAATTCGTTTTAACTGGCTATTACGCTCGTTTGTAATCGGCTTTTTTA